TACTTCACTCCACTCCACTTCACTCTATTCTCCTCCATTCCACTCTACTCCACTCTACTCTACTCTACTCCACTCCACTCCACTCTACTCTACTCCACTCTACTCCACTCCACTCTACTCCACTCCACTCTACTACACGCCACTCCACTCCATTTCGCTCCGCTCCACTCCACTACACTCCACTCCACTCCACTCCATTCCACTCCATTCCACTCCACTCCACTTCGCTCCACTCCACTCCACTTCACTCCACTCCACTCTACTCCACTCCATTCCACTCTACTCGCCACTCTACTCCACTCCACTCCACTCTTCTCCACAGTACACCACTTGACTCCACTCTACTTCACTCCACTCTACTCCACTCCAATCTACTCTACTCGCCTACACTCTACGCTTCCCTACTCCTCTCTACTCTTCTCTACTCTTCTCTTCCTTACGCTTCTCTTCCCTACACTTTTCTTCCCTACACTTTTCTTCCCTACTTTTCTCTACTCAACGTTGCTCTACTCTACGTCTCCCTGCTCTTTTCTTCCTTACACTTTCCTTCCCTACTCTTCTCTACTGTACGCTTCCCTACTCTACGCTTCAGTGCTCTGTCGTACTCTGCCCTGCTTTTCTTGGGTATGCTCTGCTCTACACTACTTTGCTCTGCTTTCATTTGATCTGCTCTGCTCTACACTCCTGCACTCTGATCTGCTCTACTCCACTCTGCCTTACTCTACACCTTTCTTCTCTACTCTACTTCACTAGCCTCCACTCCACTCGCCTACACTCTCCTCCACTCCACTCCACTCCACTCCACTCTACTCTGCTCCACTCCACTCTAATCCACTCCACTCTACTCACTCTATTGTACTCCACTCTACCTAACTCCACTTTACTCCACTCCATTCCACTCTACTCCACTCCAATCAACTGTACTCCACTCCACTCCACTCTACTCCACTCGACTCTCTACTCTACTCTATTTTCCTTGACTCTACGTTTCCCTAGTCTTCTCTACTCTACTCTTATCTTTCCTACGCTTCTCCACTCCACACTTCCCTTCTCTTCGCTTCCCTGCTTTGCTCTGCTCTTCTTTTCTCTTCTTTACCCTGCTCTACACTACTCTCCTCTCCTCTGCTATGATCTGCTTTGCTATAATCTGTGTTGCCCTTCATCATGGTGCGCTCAGTTGCTGACTTGAATGAAACGAAAAATCTTCATATTGAACTTTTTTCTTTGTATGTTGATGTTGTTCTTTCATTATTCTACGCATTGTTTTTTTGTTGCTCCTCTTTCTCTCTCTCTCTCTCTTTCTCCTCCCTTTTTTTCTGAATTTTCAATCTGTCATTTTTTTTTTTTTTAATTCGTCAATTGTGCTCCGACTTCGGAGTCGATTTTAAGTCTATCTAAGTTTATGCAAGCGGTCATTGTGAGGTTACTCACTACATTTGTTATTTATCATGATGCGGGCGCTTAGCTAGTTGATATTATTATCAGATTTTATTTATTTTCTTTTTGTTGTTCTGTATTTCTGACGAGATCGCAGAACAGATAATTGTATAGTCTGATTGACATCCATGTGGAACAACTTGCGGTTGTCTGGTCTGCCGAAGTTCATTCCCTTGTTTTTCCATCCGGTCTCAGTGACGCCATATGCAGAGGCGCGACATTGCAGGAACAACGAGCAAACGAGAAAACGCACAATACAACACTCCCAAGACGAGAAGGAACGAATGATCAAACACGGGAACGATCCAACTGGCGCCCCAACTATCTATCCAGTGAATGAGCGAATGAGCGAGCTTATAGCGAAAAGGAGTGAAAGGAGCACAATATGGTCCATTGTCTGGGGCAGAGTCGAAGTCGAAAATGGTGTCTTGAGAAACGATGAAGACAATAGTAGTCAGGCTGAACACCGCGCGTACAAAAAGGCGCATATAACAGGCGAGGCCACTATGAGGGCATGGGGACAGAATCTCGTAACAATCAAGTAACCAGTAAGTGAAATCGTAGATGCTATAGTGCGGGCTATGAACACGGTAATTGAAGCCCTAACACCAGGCAATACAACCTCTCTGTTTTCTCTAGCTMTGTTTCGACCAGAAAKCAGCATGCAACCCRKAAGCCGTCTTATCTGCTGTGGGTAMAACAACACACTGACGAGAAGCCTTTCGTGCGCAAAAACAAATCTCTGTGGCGAAGCACAGCGCTCCTGTTCCGTAAGTGCTCCGACCAGAGAAACCAGGAGTACGCACTTCCAAGGTGTACGCGATGGCCGAAACCCTACCCCTATCGGACTTCCTTTGTTAAGGCTGGCGAGAAGATGTCTAGTATGGAAGACGGGTGCAAC